CCTTAGGCACTTATTTAACATAATATATATGTTCCCTCATTTGTAAAATAAAGATAATACCAACCTCACTGAGCTTTATGGGGATTAAATAAATTAAAGGATCTAGCATAGTAAGCATAATCTACATGGTAGCAGTTGTTATCCCATGCACCTTTAAACAGATGGTATTACAAATTTGATTCCTGATGTCACACTCTGAAATGTCAAATGCTCTATCTACTAAAGCCTAGTTTTAAATCTCTTAAAACTTTGTTTAGATGCCCTGATTTTGATTTTCTGGTTATCTTGCATATTTATGTAGTAACACGTGAAAAAGCTTGTGCTCTGGACTTAGCCCATAGTTTGGACTCTGGCCTTGCTCCCTGCTTGCTGAGCAATCATGAGCAAGTGACTAGACTTTTCTGAGCCTAAGATTTCTTGCCTTCAAAATTAGTATGATAATAGTACCAAACTCAGTGGATTATTATGAGAGTTAAGTAAGATTACACGGCCTTTCCCCTACCCCCACTTTCCCTTCTTGACAATAAGTCCTGAAAACATTATAAGGAGCCATCTTAGGTTAAAAAGAGGGAGGGGTGGAGGGGAGGAGGAGAGAGGAGGTATGGAGTTATCAAAGCCCATCTGTGTGTGGGAGAAAGAGTAAGTGATGGGAAATTAGAAGTAAAGATATCAAGAATAATGAAATAAGGTTTCTTACTTTAGAGAGGAGTATTACAAATAATGGAAAAGAAAAAACCAGCAAGAATCCTGTGATGTTGGATTCAAGTTAGGAAGAATTCATATGAACTCATGAATATACACACAGAAATACAGATGTAAATGTGTGCATTATATATGACATAGATATACACATACTCAAACAAAGACGCTCCCTAGCTCTATTGATGCAGAAGGCCTCCGAACAGAGACAAAAAGTAATGAGCAAGCCTAGCACCAGATCTTGGTTTCTAAATATCATTCTCCAAAATCTGAGACAATTTGATTTTTTTTCCCAATTTTTGCCCAATTCCCAAACACCAGCACCACCAACAAAATGACAGTTTTCAAAAGTGACCTGCAGGGTAGCTTTTACCATCTTCACCTTATTGATGTGGAAATTGAGTGCAAGGAGTGCATGCCTTACCCACAGACACAAACATGAAGTGGCAGCATGGGATTAGAACCAAAGCTGGGCTGGGCGCAGTGGCTCACGCCTGTAGTCCTAGCTCTCTGGGAGGCTGAGGCAGGAGGACGGCTTGAGCTCAGGAATTCGAGATCAGCCTGAGCAAGAGCGAGACCTCGTCTCTACTATAAATAGAAAGAAATTAGCCAAACAATTGGAAATAGAAAAAAATTAGCTGGGCACGGTGCCACGTGCCTGTAGTCCCAGCTACCCGGGAGGCTGAGGCAGGAGGATCACTTGAGCCCAGGAGTTTGAGGTTGCTGTGAGCTAGGCTGACGCCACAGCACTCTGGCCTGGGCAACAGAGTGAGACTCTGTCTTGGGGGGGGTGGGGGGAGAACCAAAGCTGCCCAGATCCAAGAGGGGACAGATCTTCCTAGATGGCTGGTCTTAACACAGGATCAAGTGGTCAGATTAAATGGCTATGAGGTACTAGACAAATGAAAAAGCTACTGAGGACAGTAAACAGATGCATAAAACCATGTCCCTATGCTCATCTCTCATTACAGGCTAAGATCAATCTATTTTAGGTCAACCAAGGACACTAGTGCTTTGGTCAAATGTATATAAGGTCTACTTGGCTTTATTAATAACTCGGAGTTGAAATTTATTGACTTTATTAAGTTTCTAAGCAGATTTTTGGATTAGACCCTTCAAACAAAATGAGAACACAATGACATTATCTTGCAGAGTATGCTGACACGGAAGTAAATTTGGAATGAATCTCTTTTCATAAAAGCAAAAGTGTACACTTTGCAGAAATGTCAAAAATAAACTTTGAAAGCAAAGCCCAATTACCTGAGGGTTCAAAGTTAGCTAGCATTAGATTCAAGGCTCTCTCATTTGTCAGTCCCTTGTTGTTTGTATCCTGTTTGGACAGAAGCATCTGCCCCCAAATTAGTCATCAAAGTTTATAGTTACAGAATCACTATTCCTTAAACTTCCAGTGGTTTCACTGATATATGCAATATTTCACAGGATCATTACATAATCAGAAAAACAATGTGACATTTCCTCTCCACATTAACTTATGTTTATTTAGCTAAATGACTCAGGGTACTAAGAATGGGCACATAGCACTATGTAGCCATGACTACTTACTAGTCTTGCTCATTAAAATTAGGAGAAAACTATTCCAGAAACCAGCTTATCACACAGCCTCATCCCACACAAACCTGAGACAAAGACAGAAATGAGGTAAATTCTGCAAGGGCATTCTAAGAATTGGGTTGTGCATCAGCCAGGTAGAAGAAACACAAACAGTTTTTCTACGCTCTTTTAAAATCAGAATACATTCTTTTGATCATATGAGCAGCTATGGGAACTACATACCTAAACCCGAGCTTAAGAGATACAAAGTGGTGCTCAGGGTGAGACCAGGGAGCCAAGACAGTAGGCTAGACTAGCTCCACTGGTGCTAATTTTTACAAGTGCCTCTACACTTTAACTGTGAGAAGTTTGAGATCTGCCTCAAATAGACATTCAAATATATTTGTTCGATTCAATTCATCCAACACTTCTAAAGCATTTAAAACACACCAAACATAAGGTGGATATAGGTAGGGAAAAATAATATCCCTCTACTGCATATGTAACCCATATTTAAAAACAAAAGTGATGGGTGAAGTATCACCTTGAAAGACTGCCAGCAACACACAATGAAAAATCAGACAGGAACTTGTGTGAGTCTCTAGCCTACAAAGGTAAGCTGCATATCACTTTTAACAAGCAGTCAGCAAAAATAGATGTATAACTAAAACTAGTAAAACTTAAATTTGGTTGGTTGTTATGAACCTGATCAAAGCTATTTTAGTTATTAATTCATTAATACAATCTAACTTGTGCAATATGACAACTATTTACCAAGTGGTTAAATAAACATAACATCACTGAAATAACATCCAACCCCTTTGTATCTACACAGAAATCCAATTTCAAGCAGTCCACAATCCACCCAGGCAATAAGAAGATAGCACTAGGCATTCAATGAATGCAGATATAAAATAAACATTTCAAAATATAAGATGTTTTTGAAATGTTACCATTGGTAAGCTTTTTTATCATTGCAACATGGCATACTTTTGAAAAAGAAAAATTGAGGCTGGGATCACCAGCTCATGCCTATGAACCCCACACACCGGGAGGCCAAGGCAGGAGGATCTCTTGAGGCAAGGAGTTCAAGACCATCCTGGGCAACATAGTGACACCCCATATCTACAAAAAATAAAGAAAAAGAGCCAGGCAGTGGCATGTGCCTGTATTCCTAGCTACCTGGGAGGCTGAGGCAGGAGGATCCCTTGAACCCAGGAATTTAAGGCTGCAGTGAGCTATGACTGCACTCCAGCCTGGGTGACCAAGTGAGACCCTGTCTTAAAAAAGAAAAAAGAAAAGAAAAGCTCAAACTTCACTCGCTGTTTTCTCAAGAAAAAACGGTACTCTTAGATGAGCACTACACTTACCATACCTATAGCTGTTGTCTAGTATCTAAAATCTAATATCAAGAAAAGAGACAGACATATATACTAATATATATGCCCCAGTAAAGATTTATGCAGCCTAATACAACCACAACAAAAACCATCTTCCCCTTTTACCAACCCTAGGTTGACTGTTTCAACGTCATTCTAAGTTTAACATACGGTTTCTCAGTAGCCTCCAGAAAAAAGTTTTCACTCACACAATACCCATTTTTCAATTACACTTAACGTTGTTCTTTTACTAACTTCCTCAAGACAATCATCTTCTATTTGTTTCTAAACCTTCACATTTTTAGATATGTCTTGGGTGTTCAGAGCATAAATTACTTGTTTACCCACTAACATTCCTGTTTTTGGAATCCTTAATAAAATGTGCAGTTCTGTGATCAATACAGGGCGAAGTGAATATATACATTCTAATAGAAATTCTTCCATGTGCTACATTAAACTTGGGTCTATTACAAATATAAAGAATTCTTTGTGTTAAATTATTTTGACCCGATGGCTTTACATTAAAAAATAATAGGCCGGGCATGGTGGCTCACGCCTGTAATCCTAGCACTCTGGGAGGCCGAGGCGGGCGGATTGTTTGAGCTCAGGAGTTCGAGACCAGCCTGAGCAAGAGTGAGACCCCCGTCTCTACTAAAAAGAGAAAGAAATTAGTTGGACAACTAAAAATATATAGAAAAAAATTAGCCGGGCATGGTGGTGCATGCCTGTAGTCCCAGCTACTCGGGAGGCTGAGGCAGTAGGATTGCTTGAGCCCAGGAGTTTGAGGTTGCTGTGAGCTAGGCTGACGCCACGGCACTCACTCTAGCCAGGGCAACAGAGTGAGACTCTGTCTCAAAAAAAATAAATAAATAATAATAATAATAATAATTCTAACTGTTAAATGGATCTGGATGTATTGAGAACTACTAGTGTCTGACTCACACTAGCAGTCTTATTAAAGATATTTCAGTGAGTGCTCCTGGAGTTTTATTACTAAGAGTGAACAAAATAAATCAGTAACCAAGAAACTTCCCAAAATAACCTAGTCTTTTTCAACACGGTATCATGAAAGGTTTGACAGAATGTGCATCAGGGAAATAATCTATCAATTCTTATTAAGTTCAAAACACACATCAACAAGAATTATATCTTTATTCCACCCTCTCTCAACCCAAATTTTCTCACTTTTCTTTTCCTTAATAAAGTAAAAAGCAAACAACAAGCCACTTTAGATGCCAAAGACATTAATTATAACACCTCCGAAAGAGGTTTACCATAGGATTCTGGAGTCATACTAGTGTACTGTCCAAGCACACACATACACACAAGTGAGAAAAGTTCTCACAGAATGGACACAAGTAACTCACTTACCTTGTTTCAGGGTTGTAGCCTAATATGTAGAAAAATGAATCCACTCGGGCTTTAAACTCTCTAGCAGCAAATATGTCAGAAAAATGGGAGATATTACACTTCCCTCTGGGAAAAAGAAAAAAAAACATGTTAGTAATACCCTTAATTGCTCTGCAAACCAAAATACTATTGGAGGGGTAGAGGTAGAGGAATCATATAACTAAACCCATGGAATATGCAGAATACAGCTCAAATTCCATACTTGATTACCTATTCAGTCTGTTTCATGACTGCTTCAATATACAACTTTGTAACTTAACTCCTTTTATTTCATCATTTTACTTATAAAGAAAAATTAATTAAAATACAAAGATAAACTGGAGGCAGGACTATGATAAAAGAATATTAAACAAATAAGAAATGAAGGGAGAAAAATTAAAACCACAGTGAAAATACTTTACAAAAAAAATCAGTCAAAGTCTTTCTAAATAATCAAAGAAAAATGGGCCTTTTCTTCCTGCAACGTTATGATGGGCAGAAAGTATAACTGTTAAAGCTAAAATGAATAAGATTTGACATTTCTTTGGAATACGGCTTCTAGCCAATAAATATTTTTCTTCTCCTGTAACATGCAAGAAATTATCTTACTTGGAAATTAAAACCTAGGGCAATTTTAACTGTTTTAAAATAAAGATAGACTCCAGTATACAAGGAGTTCCCAAATTTTCAGGTAATGTTAAATGACTATAAGTTAGAAATCACTTTCCCATAGAAATGTTACAACAAAGAGCAGTAAGGTTTCCAGGTTCACCTACCAACAAAAATTAAACCACTTGTAGCTGAAAACTCTATAATGCATACTACAGAACTGTTTAAGCAATGTTTCCATGCACCAAATATCCACTGTAATTGCCAGAAACATTACACCAGGCAGTAGGGCCCAGCTTCCAATATGCACACACATAGGTAAATCCTGGGGTTCCCAAAGAGGCAGGGGAGAGCTGAGAACTGCAACTCTCTCAGGGGTCACAGAAGGTAAATTTTAATGTCAGGTGGAAGCCAAGGGTTGCAATGCGGTTAGATAAAACTGAAAGACCACAATTTCCGATTTCCTACCAACAGCACCTGTGGCATGCTTCCAGGACCTGGCCCCCACTGCTTGAGTAAGCTACCTACTGCACTAAGGACTCCTTGAGTGTGCATGTTAAAAACAGACACATCAGCTAACGGCCACAGCGATAGGGGGAGAAACTGACTCAGGCATCAGCAGGGGTAGTACATTCACTCACTCCCTACCAAGAAATTAAAAAGCAAGGTCCTTTCCCTCAAAGGCTTAATTAAGTAACTATGTGATCAAAGCCTCAGTAATGGAGAGAAGCTAAAATTGGTTCAGATCATCTCCATTTTTGAAAATTAAGTAACAATACTGCTGATTTATTAACATGTCCTTGGGAACTACAGATTAGAAAATAATCCAGAGTTACTGAGCACTTGAAACATGGCTGATACAACTGAGAAAAACTGAATTTTAAATTTTATTTAATCTTAATGAATGTATATTTAAAAAGCAGCATGTGTCTCGTAGCTATCATATTGAATAGCAGAGATTTACACAATATTCCCGTCTTCACAGAAAGTTCTATTAGAAGTGCTATAGAATACCTACTATTTGTAGATAACAAGATCCAATTCAAGGAAAATACACAATAAGCAACAACTTTCCAGGCCCAGAACTACTCCTCTAGTATTTAACTGGAACTAAAATAAGCTTTTGGGAAAGAAAAGACAGATATGATCACTTTTACAGATGAACAATAAACTGACTGTGAAACTACTCATTCATCCAAGGTGATTTCATCCCTGAAACCCAGAAGAAATAGGTAAGTTCCTTTATCAGTAAAATAGGGATAATACTTACTGCACCCATCTCATAAAGATACTAAGACAACCAAAGATGAAGTCAATGAAACTCTTTATACTACTCAATGCTATATAAAATAAGTTGTTATTTCTATTATTGCCCATTACTAAAGGAAATTGATCCTTCTTTTATTATTCTTTGGTATTTCACCCTGAAATTGGAGTAATTAATCTATTAATTAAAGGTATAGAAACCCCAGGAATGCACAATTCTCAACACAGGCACTGGAAATCAGACATGTTCAGGCCAGGGTTTATCAGTCTCAGCCCTACTGACATTTTGGACTGAATAATAATTTATTGTCAGGGGCTGTCCTACGCATTGCAGGATATTTAGCAGCATCCCTGGCCTCTACCAAGTAGTACCCACACACACGTCACAGTGACCATCAAAAATATCTCAAAACATTGCCAATGTCTCCTGGGGAGGGCAAAATTACTGGTCTGGGGAAAGCAAAAAGCAGTAGGAATAGAAGCACATCATCTGATAAATAACTATGTAGTTGTAGTAAATGGATTTTCTCTACCATTATGCCCTCTATCTGCTTACTGTGTATATATATCAAGGGTATTGATTTTAGTATGTTAAACGACTTTTTACTATTTGACATAGTTTTATCATTCATTCTTTGAGGTTTTCCAGGTATGCTACAGTTTGTAAATAGCTAGTTTTATTTCTTTAGCCTTTCTTATGCTTCTAATTTCATTGTACCTCTAGTACAATGTGGAAAGTGGTAGACATAGTGGACATTCTTGCCTAGTTCTTGATCTCAGTGGAAATGTCTCTAAGGTGTTCCTATTAAATGTGACACTAGCTTTAAACATAATCAAATCCAAATCATAGCTTTGGAGATAATCATATAATTTCATTCCTGAGATTAATTTGGTATGTGGTATTTAGAGTCTGTAATACAGAACCAACCTTGCATTCTTGGAATAAATTCCAGCTGGTCATAATGTACTTTTGTAATGAGGTATTAAAATTAAAAACAAACAGGATTTGATTAATTAGAACTAAATTTTCTTCCTTGTTAATTTCTAATTTTATATTTCCTTTTCTGTACATTTTTATCGTTGCTGTTATTAATAACAGCTTTATTCAATAGCCTAGAAACAACCCAAATGTCAACAGGTAAATGAATAAACCAATGAGAAAAACCAGAACAGTGGTTGCTTCTAGATGGGAAGTTTTTTTTGTTTTCTAGCCTTCCTGAATAAAATGGGTGGGAAGTTTTCAGAGGGAAATATCTTGAGGGAACTTTTTGTGATAATAGATATATACCAGGTCATGTTCAAGATCAAACAGATTTATGGAAATATACTAAAATGCATACTTAAAATCTGCATTTTGCTGTATATTAAAAAAATGAAGGACAATAAAACAATGAGAATCATTAGCATATAGCTGTGGCTGTTTAAAAAGCTGGTATTCTCTTTTGGGTCACAGTGGTTCACACCAGTAGTCCCAGCAATTTCAGAAGCAGAGGCCATAGGATTGCTTGAGGCAAGGAGTTTGAGACCAGCCTGGGCAACATAGTGAGGCTCCATCTCTACAAAAAATAGGAAAATTAGCCAGGCGTGATGACACACACGCCTGTAGTTCCAGCTACTTGGGAGGCTGAGGCAGGAGAATCACTTGAGCCAGGTGTTTGAGGTTGCAGTGAGCTATGATGAAGCCATTGCACTCTAGCCCAGGCGACAGAGTGAGACCCTGTCTCAAAAGAAAAAGAAAACAAAAATTAGCCAGGCATACTCCAGAGGCTGAGGTAGGAGGACCACTTGAGCCCAGGCATTTGAGGATGCAGTGAGCTATGATTGTGCCACTGCACTTCAGCCTGGCAACAGAGTGAGAATCCATCTCTAAAAAATATATATATGTATTCTTGGTAGATAACCAGCCCTCGAGCCCTGACTATTGAGCAGAGGTGAAGATAGGTTACCATAAGCAAGTAAGGCCACTAGGATTGTCTCTGATGGGTTGGCATCCATTTGAAGTACTTTTCACTTCACCTCTTACTGAATAGTGCTTACACTGAAAAATGTGTGTATATGAGCCAGGCGTGGTGCTGCACTCCTGTAGTTCCAGCTACTTGGGAGGCTGAGACAAAAGGATCACTTGAGCCCACTGCTACACAGTGTATGGGCAGCATTTTAAGTATTCAATATTGTTTACCAGAGCTCTCTTCTCACCATGCTCTCTCTCAAAAATAGGACATCATTTGATGGTGTTTGTGGAAGAGATGAGAAGAGAAAATCGCCATCATGCACACCTCACTGAACTATATGGTTTCAGGGTGTTCAAAGGTCTTTTATACCCCATTTCTAAAACAATGCTTCACTGTTAACAGAAATATGACTAAAGGCAGGGAAGCCCCATATCTTAGGTCCTTTCATTCATCAGTAAAGAACTTTTGCTGGAAAAGACTCATTTCAGCAATTCTTTGGCATGGGGTCACAGACAGTTGTACACCCTGGACATTGCACCATTTGAAGAGTCCTCTGGCTAATGGGAGGAGACTATTTAAAGAGGATAAAGGATAGAGAAGAGAATCCATCTTATGCATGGAGGCATTCCAAATGGAAATCGTGGCCCAGAAATTCATTCCCTTAAAACTATTGGTAACTGGGGAAGTCGTCTTATATTCAGGCATATGCAAACCCCAGAGAAATTCATGAAGAGGTATACCAGCATGCAAGAAGGTTTGTAGTAGCATGTCTGCTTAAAACTATGATTATTACTCTTACCTGAATATGAAAACAAAAGATTTTGAGAGATTCACTATTGTGTCTATTATTAATATAAGCCATTTGATTAATGACAGGTATAGGATTTTTTAAAAAATCTATTTTCTCTGTTTCTTCTTCTGTTTCTCTTGTCTTCCTGTGGGTTACTTGAACTTTTTCTTTTTAGAATTCCATCTTGACTTGTGTCCAGTACTGTTTCTGAGTATATCACTTTTTACAGTTTTCTTAGTTGTTGCTCTAGGCCTAACAACATACCTATATAACTTAATCACAGTCCATGGATACTGACATTTTACCAGTTCTAGTGAGGTATAGAAGTCTTACTTCCACTTAGGTCTCTTTGCCTTCCCACTTTTTAAATATAATTCTCTTATGTTCCTTTGTATACATTCAGCATAAAATCAGTGTGTTCTTTTGATTCATTTGTTGTTCTTTTAAAATTTATGTTAGGATTCATTTAA